GTTCCGGTGGTCCCTAAGCCCGAGCCTACGTCATGACCGGAAATATTGTGGGGATCCGACGGCGCTTGAACTGAGCCTAAAGGACTAGATGGTGTCGTTTCAACTTCCAGTTCGAGTCCGACACTCTGGTCATCAACAGGTGCATATACTAAATGGTCCCAACTGTCCTCGATTACTGCTCTTTCGGGTGAGACCGTGTTCATGGTCACTTCACTAACCAGTGGACCGGTAACCACACTGTTTGCCAGTCCCGTCGACGTGTCTGGGATATTCACTCGGTTCTGTGTAAGGTCCGTACAAGTTGCATCCGACCGCAACTGGGCATGTGCTGATTCCACAAGATGATGATGATGATGAGAATGAAGAGGATGGCGATGATGCTGCGGAGATTCTTTGTTTCTTTTGTAGGCGCGATAGCATTTTTGAATGATCTTTGCCGCCTCATACAGGCGCTTCTGCTCCAAGTCTGACAGGGTCAGCCGGCTGAAATCCGTTTCCATGAATGTGGTCGGCGCATTAAAATGCTCGGCAATCTCTGCGGCTGATGGTGGAGGACTACCGAGATTAAACGTGTGCGACGAACTGGAGCATCGATTCCAAATGGGAAATTCTGTATCACTTTGCCATAGGCCGTTCCCGATTTGACATCCATTGGAGTCTGTCAGAGATGTATGGGCTGCAGCAACACTACCCCCACAATTGGATTCATCACAAATATAGCCTGCGGAACTTGGTGAGGTGGCCAGAAAGGAGCTGGATGCCCGAAATCGTGGACTAGAAAGAGAAAAAATAGAAGATACATTTTAGAAAGTGCAATCGATTGATAGCGTCTGAAATCAAAATTTACAATTTCCGAAGAGCAGTCATTTTGAACGGATAAGTCTTTTAGCAGCCCTATCAAAAATCTATGAAGCTATTTGGAAATTCGAAGCTATTCAACAGAAAAAAGGAGAACAAGCCGAATCCACCGTTCAACAATGGGGGACCAAAAGAACCAGTGAAAGTGATTTCGAGTATAACGTTTTGCCAAGTAGTCAGAAATGTGGTATAGCATACAATTGAAAGTCATTTATCCATCCCAGTCCTTGATTTATGCCTACCTACCTAAATTTTCCGCACCTTGCTATCTTGGACTTGGTTCATCGAAACCAGTGAACTTTTCCCGATATCCATCCCATATGCGGGACTCGATTGGGTGCGTGTTTATATATATATA